TAATGACTTTGCCCTAATGGAAATTCATTTACTAAGTTTGCTATTATTCAATAGTTTTTACTTTTTTTCTCCATTTTATATTTTCTTTATATGAAGAAAGAAGCAGATGATTCTTGAATAGTTTAGATCCTCTTGACAATTAATTTTTAACAACGGACCTGATGGTTAATTACATGCAATCATGCTAAGCAATTATTAAATGTTTCAGTTTGAGTCACATGCAATCAATATTGATGATATTCCAAATAAAGTATCTAGGAAACCTAAACCTGGTCATAACACAAAAATGGATCTTAGGTTTGTTATGCAGAGTAGAAAAACTTATCGACTAAGAATATTTCAGTATGAGCCTTGATTCTTAAAAACTCAATATCACAAATATAAGCCTAGCTTATATGGGGTCACCAAGGTATGTGTCGTTATCAGATTACTTTTTAATTTCTCAAAAAAAAACATTAAATAAATACATTTATTTTTGGTCTTAAATGATAATAAGGTTGTCTATTACTGACAGATTGAAGAGAGGTCACACATCTGGAAATAAACAATGGACTCATGCAACCCAATAATTTAACACGGGGGTTTAGCGACTAGATATTGTCAAGCATTCGATACATCCCAATATTGAAAATTTGAGAACTCGTACATAACCTGTTAGTTTGTTAACATCTTGGATGACAAAAAGCGACAACAATACTGGGTTTAGGCAACATTGTCTAGGTACTAAGTGGAATAATTGATGATTAACGTCTTTTTTATATCTAGAAACATAACCCAATTAAATGTTTCCATATCTCATATGATTTTTTCCTTTCTGAGTACATGTGGAGGATTTTTTTGAACCAGAAGTCCGTAAGTTGACGTGTGGTTCTTATCCTCAAATTTATATTGGTCAAACCGGAAGAACTGTCTCAAAAAGAATCAAAGAACATAGAAGTATTTTTGAATGAGGAGAAAATTTCCCTTCATGAGTTTAATCATGGCTATGAAGTTCACATCAGATAAGAAATTGTTTAAACTCAATCTCTTGGAATGCTTAAAAGTCAAAACACTGAAGAACTCTCGACCAAACTGAAATAAATTGATGAACTTGGAAGTTAGTTGAAGATTTCAATTAAAATTGGTAGTATTCATTACTTTTCTACTTTAATACTTTTGTTTCTAGAATGGTAGAAAGTTGTCATTATGATTCATATCCTTGATGCATATAAGAAGTAGTATTCTGAATTCAGCATTGAATATACCCGTAGAAGTTATTGTATAATGAAACATGTGTTACTGTTTTGTAAACTGTTTTGTGAAATTTTCACAAAAAATTATTCGACAAATATCTTTTTAGGTATATATTTAGTTCTAGTTGTAGGTTCTTTAATTTAGGTTAGATTATTAGGTATGTTGCGTAAACCAAATTAACTGAAAGAACAGTTTGTTCAGGCCAGTCTCGACTAACCTACACTGTAGGTTAACCTAACTTACCTACACTGTAGGTTAACCTAACTTACCTACGCTGTAGGTTAACCTAACTTACCTACACTGTTGGTTAACCTACTGTTGGTTAACCTACAGTAGGTTAACCTACAGTAGGTTACAACCTACAGTAGGTTACAACCTACACTGTAACCTACAGTGTATGTTGACCTACAGTAGGTTACAACCTACACTGTAACCTACAGTGTAGGTTGACCTACAGTAGGCTAGTGTAGGTTAACCTACAGTAGTTTACAGTAGGTTAACCTACAGTGTAGGTAAGCAGAGACAGACTTGAACAAATTGTTCATGCAAAGTGGTTCGTTATACACATATATCATGATAATATAGGAACTGTGACCTTTCTTAAACCCCACTCATGCATGAAACAAAAATAGGCATGATTCAAAAATTGCCCAAATGACCAAACTTGAATACCTTATGCAAGAACTTAACCAATAGGAGAGTAACAAAGGCTTAACTGTCGTTTAGATCCTGGGAGTGCACAAAATGAAAAAATAATACATATAGAACAAAACATACAAATCAAGCAGTAGACAGTATAGTGAAAGGGTACACTGACAGTGCAACACAGTTTTCCATTGAATTCAGTGAAAAAATAGCTGATACTGAACTACTCAACTATACCTAATATTTTCTATTTATTTCTATTGTTAAAATCTGATATTCTCTGTTCATTTTCGTTGTTAAATCTAATTTCTTTTAGCAAGATATTTCAGTCAACAAGTAAAGAATAGTTTTTACTCGATATAAGTAACCCAGTATCAGCTGCTAAAGGGATAAGTGAAATATTCAGAAATTACAGTTCGACATTTCCATGACTAACCTCTTGTAAAAGATCCTGAGCAGCAATGGCTTTGAGAACATTTTTCTTGCTGGTCTCCTGGACCTCCCCACCCAACAAAAGTTCGTCCAGGATGAAGTATGCTTTCTCGAAATTGAAAATGATATCCAGTTCACATACCTGCAAATGAAAACTCATTGAAATTCAGAAATAGAAAATTATATACGAGAACATACACTGCCAAAATACTTGTCGAGAAGTTCCACGTAACGGTGAATGATCTCCAAAGTTAGCAGTTCATTGTCGCTTTGTTCAATCGCACAACAGAAGTATAAGCTGGCATATCTGGAAAAAATTGAGGTATATATTTGTTCTGATGTCTCAAGCTTGTTTTGTAGAAAACTCAGTTAGAATTTGGCCAGTAGCGATCTGACATGTGGATATTAGAATGCTTTGATGACAAATTCAACAGTGTTTTCTCAATATGTGATCTCCATACAAGGCTGGAGCTCTCGAAAGGTCGGTTGACATTGTTTATAAAGATTTTTGGAATGCATTTGACAAAATTAACCATGATGAAAGGTTATCCAGTATGAGAGACACTAACCTAACCTTAAAATTGGTAGAATTCAACATCTGCACATGATAAGACAGAAATTGCTTTTCCATCCAACCAGTAACATCTAACTTAAATTAATACAAAATATCCTGCAATCAAACTTGAAGAGAGGAAGAAAAGCAGGAGAGGCTAAAAACGAATACATATTATAAACAAAGAAAATTTTATATGATTGGAAAGTGTGGATGATAATTTTTGGTGTTCTCTATATATTTATGGTGAATGAATTTTAAATATAGGTATCAAGTGATCAATATTATAAAATAAGACAACCGGATTGATACATACTACTGTGTTCAGAAAATAAGGTGAATTTTCATAATTTTTTTGGGTGGGATTTAGAGAAATTTCAATTATACTACATTAAATACTAAGAATTCTTAGTCATAAAACATGGGACTTTTTACCTCTTATATACAACTTTCAAATCTCTCCACTCTAAGAAACTACACATTTTGGGTTTCCTCGCCAAGATCGTGGTGATTAATTCTCTAGTTATTTTTTTCTTGAGTTTATCAGGATGAGCCACATACCACTTCTGTAACCTTAATTTGCCTTGACGGCTGAATAGTAACATGAACTGCATCTAAAAAACATATGGTCAGAAATACCTGTTCACGATTTTGTAAGGAAATTATTTTTCATTCCACCTACCATGTTATAATCTATATAAAGTTACTCAATTAATTCATATTAATTTGATAGATATTACAATACTATAACGAACAACTTTAACAAAAAATAATAATCGAGACAAGTGACAAGTGACATTTATTTTCATTCACTAAATCCAACGTTGCCAGAAACACTGTTTTACAGACCTCAAACCAAACAGACCACAGAACATGTAGACCTAATTGGATATAGGTTTATGAGTTCTGTGAAATAGATTTTTCTACCGATAAGGATGCAATTATGTTCAACCATAGTATTTCAATGAACCAATAAGCAGGACATCGCTGAATGAACTTACTTTCGTTTTTTTTGGTTAATTTTATTATTTTGGGGTTTACAGTATTTTGAGCTAGTTTCTTCGGTGTCAACGGCATCAACTGCTAGGGTATTTAGCCTCACGTTCTGAGTAGGCAATAATCAATAACAATAACTACCCATATATCGTGGTATTTCGCAGTCTGCCAGCTACATTTGAAAACGTTTTTTTGCATAAGAAATAATGACTATCCAAAAATATTCCATCATCAACATATTTTTAAGTTATTTTGAAAATGTAGTTTTTTGAAAAATTACTAAAAAGTAAATTGGTTTGAAAATCTCAGAATCATTCCAGAAAAAACACCCGTTATATAACAATTTTTGAATGTCGATGATTTTTTAATTATTCGACTGATTTTTATTTGATGATGCTACATTTGACGTGGTTTGCTGAGAAATAGAGCTGAATGTCACATGTGATTATGAGTGAATGGGCAACGGGAAATAGTAATTTCTCGTGGATGTTTTTCGGATGAATTGTGAGCGATTTACATCAGTTTGGATCAAAGCAGGCCCGTAGATTATATCGCAATATGCTAATCCAAATAATATAAGGGTTTCGCAAAGTTTCAACTTCGATTTGGAAGTCATAATATCTCTACTTTGATAGAGTTGTCGTAAGATACTGTACGAGCTACGACAAAGTGAAGTTATATGTTTGTGAAATCTCAGATCAGGAGCTAGCCACAAACCCAAGTCCTTGCTTTCTGTTATTATTTGTAGTAAGTTTTGTCCAAGTTGGATTTCAATTCTTCCTACAATTTTTTATCTTTTGTGTTTCGGGTCAAAAAGTATCAGCTGAGATTTTTTAGAATTCAATTTCAGGTTATGGGCTATAGATAGATCCAGCAACTTTTGTAGATCGCTGTTAATTTTTTCCATTGCCACCTGCCAGTTACTTGGAGGAAATTGATAATATAACTGAGGGTCATCTGCATAATGATGAACTGTGCAATGATCAATTATTTTATAGAAGTCAGATATACATAGAGAGAACAGAATGGGGCCAATGATAGAGCCCTGAGGTACTCCATAGTTAACAGATAAATCACTAGAACACTTTCCATCCAGACATACTGACTGAGTCCGATTTCTGAGATATCTTATTTTCAATAGATCTACAGTCCCTTCACTAAATCTGATACACAGAATATTGTGGTCCAATGTATCGAATGCTTTCCTGTAGTCCAAGAGTACCATGGCAGTTACTTCATTATTATCAGTTGCTTTGTATAAATCTTGGGTGATGTTGACAAGAGTGGTGGTGGTGCTATAGAATGTACGAAATCCAGATTGAACATTTGTTATTAAATAACGAATGTTTGGTATACAAACTGAAGAGAGAAACGTGTTTATTTGTATAATTCAGTGTTCATATGAAAGTAGTTGTTTTTTTTCGTGGAATTCAATGTTTATGTGAAAGTAGTTTTAGTCATCTCCTGATGATGCTAACTTGGTTAGAGAAACTCGCGCCGAGAGACAATTCCATGAACGATTGCAGAGATTCGAATTAGAGAATTGACTCATAAATATTTCAAGCAGCGGCGGCTCGTCAGAGAAGGCAAGGAAGCCTTAGCCTCCCCATAAAATTTGAGGCTATTCATCGCAATAAATTAAAAGATTTCGAATATTACTGGAGTTTTTTCCCAACACCAAATCGTTATTTTCAACACCTCGACACGTGTTTCGATCACCAAGTGATCATCTTCAAAGAGGAAGAATAAAATTTTAATTGGTGTTGGGAAAAAAAAACTCCAGTAATATTCATTACTACACCAAAGGTTCCAAACAGTGCATCATAAGTAAAAGATATTGTCAAATGATTATGATTATTTTTTTCTAAAAATGCTTGGGTATCATTACTTCACCATTAATTTTTAATATAAATACATAATATGCCCGAAAAAAAAAACACTATCACTCACTACGTAGTACGTACCATCAACCCGAAATAATAAATGCCATACGTTACAAGGGAGCCAAGCCTTAGACCATTTTGAAAAACACAAGCTCCGCGAGACCGATTCAACTAGGGACATACGTTCCGATTTGTTATTTTAGTTGCAGAAATTATAGCGTCAGAGGAGGCTAGCCTCCTTCGTTAGTGTATGACTGCATTTGTTTTTTATTTAATTATTCAGACGAAATGCCGTGACGGACCGGGACTGAAAAATATTTCGGTAAATCGTTTTAGTGTTTCTAGGTAATATTTGTTATTTGTGTATAAAACAGGCAGTATTATATTTTTTGGTAATATTTTTAATGTGTTTTTAAAGTGTTTTCTTTCAATTTCAAGGTGTTTTCAGGTTTTCACTTTTCGGTAAGTTTTTTTTTTTCCATTTATTATGGATAAGTTGAACGAAATAAAAAAATCTGACGATATAGTCGATTGGTTGCTGACAAATAATTTTAAGTCTTTATCTTATGATAATAAATTTTACATTATTGAAACTCTGGGAAGGCCTTAACCAAATTTGATTTCAATGAAGTGTCCGATAATCGACAAAATCGAGGATTTGATATTAGTTGGTATGATAAATGCGATTGGTTAACCGGCTTCATTAAACGAGAAAAACTTTTTTGTTGGCCCTGTGTTTTATTTTACGTACAAACCGAATACGAAACGTGGTCTAAAATAGGATACTCTAATTTTAAAAAATTACCTCGTTCTACAGAAAAACATTTTGAATCTAAGAAGCATATATTTTCGTCTTGCAAATTAAAATTGTTTAGCAAACACCATATAGCAACAGCTATATCGTCTTGGTTGAAAACGAATGTCATTGTTACTTTTAGATTCTTTTTTAATTTTTTTCTTTCATATCCAAAATTGCGGGACCCTCGCAGACTATATTGAACTTGAATGACCGCCGCTTAAAAGTAGTTTGCAGGTGCCTTGTGAATTCACTTAAACAAACCAGATTTTTGCTTTCCTTTCTTTCCTTTCCTGTCAAGACACGACTCTCACCTCCCCGTTGGTTTTTGCTGGACAATAACATTTACTTTTAGACCTGTTTTTATAAGCATAATTAAGTACTTATGCTTATAAAATATTTGTACCAATTTTTAACAAAACTGTTATATTAGAAGAGAAAAGTATTATTTATTGACTAAAAAGAGTTCATTTATATTAAATAACTCAAAGACAACCCTTTTTCCTTGTTTTTGGTTTTTAATGGTCAGTTGAATACGTATTGTAATGTACTGAATTTCCAATATACGCCAGTTACCCCTAGCACTACCGTACTATCGATAGTGTGCACATATGTCTCCCCGTCACGAGCCAAGAATGAAAAAAATAACACCCTTTTTGTACAGAGTTTTGATACCTACTTCCAGTAATATATATCAGATATACTCAAGCGAATGTGTTTTTCTTAACGCCATTAAGAAACATTTCACGTATAATTTTCGGCAATACACAATTTTTGTTTGCATTCATGAAAATATTACGTATTTTGCTTTAAATAGGTGTGGTACCCCACAAAACTTTTGGCGCCTCCGGCGGGCTTTTCTGTGTGTATATAGGCTTTATGACTTTAGCTTCCCCTGTTCTCCAACGCACGAGCCGTCACTGATTTCAAGATTCCTGGATATGATCATAAAATATTTTTCTCTGAAAAATAGATCCATACATTACCCAAACATCGATTCACTGCGCAAATTCTGCGATATCTCGCAAAGATAATCCTTCCAAATATGTAAACTAGGTAAATATTGAGAACCGGAAGGCGGGGTCAACTGTTATTGGCGCTCTAGTAGACCCCCTGCAGGCCAATCGTACTTCCGGTTCTCTCAAACATTTCGCGCATCCCGTCCTGCTGCACCTCCAGAAAGGATTCGCTCCTGCCGTAATGCGATAATTGAACGCAGGAATCAACTGGACGCCGTTTTGTTCATAAACCCGCGCCGGTGTAGAGTAGTTATCAATTTTCGTGAAAGAAAGATGCTGGCTTTTTACTTCTCCATCTTTATACAGAAAAATGTGGGAAACTCTTTACAAAGATATGTAGATCATGCAAAGAAGTAACTTTCAGAGATTATTTTCTTATAAACATTGAGTTACACGAAAGAAAAACACTTTCGAAAAACATACCTTTATATGAACACTGAATTACACATAAACACTTTTTCCTATTCAGTTTGTATTCCAAGCATTCATTATGGAATTGAATCAGATATCATTCACAGGATTGCTACACAATATAGTGTATGAAAGCGGTAATATTTCACTTACAAGGAACACTGTCATCCTCAGTGGCGGCCATCCGATGTTTCGGTATAAGAGTATTGCCTCTTCAGGACCAATTCCCTGAATGAATATTCAATTCCTTATATTTATTTGTACAATATGAGTATGCACTCATCAACATAATATCAAGTGGGCTCAAGCTGAAATCATCCACAAAGAGGAACACTGGTTTAGGAGGAAATTCAAAGCCGCGTATATGTTGTCCAACAACGCATTTAGTCAAGCCAGCGTAGAGATACGTAACATATGGAAACCTCTAATTAAGCGAAAAACAACCAAATGGTCATTTGGGTCCATTATATGGAAACCCATATACCATCAATACACATCAGCAATTGATAGAGTCCAAAAGAAGTTTTCAAAATGTCTTACTTTTAGAATGACCGGAACTTATCCTCTAATAAACTGTGATTACCCTGATCTGCTATGCAGATTTGACTTTGTAGCTTTAGAAATCAGGCATCTGTTTTATTTCTATATAAGCTACTGAATGGCAAATTGGATTGTCCTGTACTATTATCAGAAATTGATATCTTTGATATCA